CCGCCGCCATCTTCTCGCCCTCTTGCTCGGAGCGTGTTTCATATGTCTTACTCTCAAGTCGCGTTTCTAAGCTTCGGCCTGGGGCTCGTCCCTTCTTATTTTTATCTCCGCTCATTATTCTTAAAGGGAAAATCGCTTTTAATGAATTATATTCTTGAATTGCGGATTATTTTAACTATCGATGCAGGAGCTCCTGTTTATGCTGCTACTCTCGCCACCATGACACCGGAAGTCCATGTGTGAATAATTTTAAGGACATTCTTGTGAGTTTATTGTATACGTTTTCTCTTGTTTCCAAAAACAATGGTAAATGGTAAATGACCTGCATTTGTATAGCGCTTTTCTAGTCCCTAAGGACCCCAAAGCGCTTCACACTACATTCAGTCATTCACCCATTCACACACACATTCATTGTGTGCATGTTTCTTGTTTGCTCCTTGTCAGGGCCGCGTTGAAGTGGAGATTGGCAAAGAGGGGCTGAAATTTGAAAATGGAGCATTTACATACTATGGCGTGTCTGCTTTGACGCTGCCATCTTCAGGTGAGTTTACAAAACACAGAATTGCTTCACAATGCAGGGACAATTCACCCGAAGACTGATCATACAGATTTCTGGGGATTTAAATGCATCATCATGTTTGTTAAGATTGTGTATACTTCATGAATTAAAATTAAAAGCCATATTTAAAAAGTTAAGATTACAGTGTAGTTTTAACACTCACAATAAAACTATTTACAAATTTTATTAAATTGTTTTAAGTAAGATAAACAGGGCAATTTCACAGCATTCCTGTAGAATACTAAAACTATTACATATACAGTAATGTACTTTACATTATATTAATGCATTTCAAAGCGCGCGCGTGTGTCACTCCGAATGGCCTGGAAAATTGTGTATTAAGCACTGAGAATCCTGATAATTATTTAGAGATATTGTATTCAAGAGTTTCATTTCACCACTAGACTTCCAGCTGTAAGTAAGAATATGTCTTATTATTTTCATTGGTAAATAAAATCCACAAATCATCTCCACAATTTTAAAAGCCTGAAGTGACATCTTTCATGTCACATTTTTGTCTGACCCCTAAAACATTTTACAACCTACAGAAAATACTGCAAATAAAATCACACTGAGCTGCTGGAGCAGTTAAATGTTGTTTTTGCATACATAGTAGACAACAGATATTAATAAATCACGTTAGGGCTAGGTTTATATGCTAAGTCATAAAAAATAAGAAAACAAATTGAGCAGGATAAATTAAAATCAGCCAAAATGTCCTGTTTTACATGCATGGAAGTTTTAAAGAAGTTCTTGGAGTTTATATTTATGCCTGGAATTTAACCCCATAGCATTCATTTTCATATCAGCTAGGTTATAAAAGACTTCATGCATATAATGGTCATTTTAGGTATTCCCTTTAGGTTTGACCACATAGTATTATAATTATAACAATGTTTCTGTTTTAATCTAGTAAATGACCTTATTGCTCATTTTAAATGATTTATATTTTTGTTTGATAAATGACCAAAATAATTGCCTAATTTTAAATAAAGGCTGATAAATTCTTAGTCCTTGAATAAGCCATAGACTTGTATGCTCAGTGACATTGTTCTTTCAGTTGAATCAGGACCTTCCAAATATGGGAAGAGATTTTGAGCAGGAGTGACTCAAAACATTAATGGAGCCCATATGTAACATTTACAGTATCTGTAGCATGTTAGTTAAATCCTAGTTGAAGACATTAGAAATAGCAATTTAAAGGCACCTAACAAAAATTATGTGAATTACAGTTTAAAGCTAAACTAGTTGGTTGTAAGTGGGACCAAATTTTGTTACCTTTTTATTATTTACCTCTCATTTTATTTATACCAAGATTAAAACCTTAACTGTGATTTAAGTACATTAAAATTACATTATTTAATGGTCACTAAACCACATAAATTTCCAATCATAAGCTACTGTTTCAAGTTAGCATTTTTCTCTTAATAATTCTCTCCATAGCAAGGTTTGAAGAAATTAGATTTAAACTTTATCATATAAACGTACATATTAGTTAATTGATTTTTTACACATTCTTCATAATAATTATAATACTTGTTCCAAGGGTTTGTCAGTCGCTTCAGTCACACCTCAAAATTTTATCTTCAAACCAGTTAAGCATACAATAAGCTAAAAGTAATGATTTCTACTAAATCATAATGCTGTGTTTCAGTGTGTTTTCATAACAATGAGTTGGTGACAATAAGAAGACAAAAGAGCTCAAATTTGCAATGCTCCAGATAAGGTGCAGGCTGTGTGTATGATTGTGCAATTTCAGTGCACCAGTCTCCGGTGTCAACTCAGCGTCACTCTCCCAGGGATCCTTTTGAGTCAGCAGAAGCCACAAGCCCGTCCAGCTATTGCCCCGACTACACCGTCCGAGCTCTCACGGACCTCCAGCTCATACGAGTTTGTATATGTGTCTTTTCTCTTGGAAAGTATTCATCCATAACAAAGACTATTCGTAAGCATTAAAAAGTTTTAATTTAATCTGTATTGGTTAGTAAAGCGTATCATAGACAACAAACTGATAATACAGTTACAGAAATATAAAGAATATAACAGTTTGACAGAGCCTACAATAATACAGAGAAAACCCCAACAATCAGATAATCCCGATGAGCAAGCTTTTGGTGACAGTGGGAATCCAGCCCTAACTAAGTCATGCACTTCTATGCTCGACAACGTTGGGCAAGTTACTTTGAAAAAGTAATTAATTATAGTTACTAGTTACTACTTCAAAAAAGTAACCGAGTTAGTAATTGAGTTACAAGATTATAAAAGTAATTAATTACTTGCAAAGTAACTAATGCGTTACTTTAAAAAAAAATGTTTAACCCACTGGGGTCCAGGGTATAATTGGCCATTTTTAACTACTTTTGATTTCCCCTCTACAGTTCACCTAAAAACTATTTACTTGCCTTGTTCAGTATCATCCTTTTTAGCACAACCTCACATGTCTGAATTTACAGTTATGTTTTTATTTTGATATACTGTATTAACACAATTGATCTAAAATCAGACAAAACATAAAATCCGAGTAGAAAAAGTTATGTTTTACTGTAACAACCACAAACATGTTTATTGAATCATATTTCATAACTTTAAATGCAATTATAAATTGTCAATTTTAAAATCATATGCAAAAGTTTTGCAAACAACAAAGTTATTTGCAGCCGTTTACCTTTTACCCCCTTTTTTAAAATAACCATTTCAAACTATTTACAGAACAATCAGCTGTTCTGCATTCAATAAGATGCCACACAAATTATTTGTGCCACTCCAAAAAAATTATTTCTAAGGTGACTGCTGTCTCCAGGTAGAACCTGGAGACAGCAGTCACCTCATTGTTCTGACACAACACAATACTATCCACAACACCTAACTACACAAGACAACACATTAACTACAGACTCCAAATATGCTGAACGTCACAAATCTCTCACATCTCAAAACTCGCTCTCTCTCTCTTTTTCTGAGAGTGCTTGCTAGCGCTGTCCTTAGACATTAAACGTGACAAAACTATTGAGGAAAAAACGCCACGAATTTATTGTTTATCATGACTCTGGTTTTACGTGGTCTATCAACACAATTTAAAAACTGGTATATATCACCTTGTTGGTTTGTCATCTTGAAGTGGTCATGTGATTGGCTTACCACGACTACTTTATTCTTCCTCAGTCAAACAGCAGCACTCAAGCGATTGTTTTGCCCCCTTAGCTACAGGTGTTGTGCCAAAAAGTGATCGTTGGGCAGAAAGTGATTGCCGTCCGCGCAGCTGCTAAAAGCTGTAGTGCCCAGATTACTTACAGTTACTTCCGTGCAACTGATAAAAGATGTGGTAAGCTGAAGACAGCATCTGTTTGTTGAAAAATAGTAAGGCGACCGCACCGCATTTTCTTGTTAGTAACGGTAACCGCGTTGTAACGATAGAAATGGTAATTAGTTAGATTACTCGCTACTGGAAAAAAGTAACGCCGTTAGTAACTCGGTTACTATTATCCCATTATCGGTTACTTGTAATGCCGTTATTCCCATCACTGATGCTTGACTACTGTAATTCATGATTATGAGGTTGTCCTAAAAACTCCCTAAAAACCTTTCATTTTATCCAAAACCCTGCAGCGACATTACTAACTTGTGTGTACGTGTGTTTTGCAGGTGACACGTCTACAGTATCTCAACGCTCTCATGGCGTCACGCGCTGGCCAGAGTCCAGATCCACCTGAGATCAAGATTTTGCCGAACAGTCAGACCAAGCTGCTCAATGACAGAAACACCACGCAAGGTAGCTTTGTTCAAAATGATGTCTGACTTGCCGGGTGTGCTGCCCCATCGACTACAAAGCTTTGTTTTCCAGACGCCTTTTGTAAACGTTTATAGGAATGTGCATTCCTTTTTGCCTTCAGCTGAACTAAATTAATTTTTTCTCTTTCTCTTTCTTTTCCCTCCTTGCACGCCTCCATGTGTCCTCTCTGCTCTGGCCTGTCCAGAGTTCCCTGTAAACTTTTCATTCTTTGATACCATTGAGAACTACTGTTAACACTTTTGTTTTGTTGCATGAGGTAAATGAAATGCAGCCTGTCACTGACTGTGTCCATTTCTGGTTTCTGGAACCATCTCACTTCTCCCAGTTTTACTGTAGTTAGCTGAGTCTCTTTGAATCTGCATGGCTGTTCTACTGAATTGATGCCCTTCACAAAGCTAATGACAGGAATCTGGGTGTATATAAAAACATAGGCGACAAATGGTGATGAATTGTGTCCTCTGGCATCCAAAATGTAGGTCTACACTTTACAATAGAGAACTTAGGTGAAAACTGTTTGTTTTAACCTGATATATTTCCCAATAATGTGCCTTTATGGATAATGCCCACTGTGTCCTCTCAGTTCAATTAACTTCAATTCAATTTTATTTTATACTTTCAGTTCACAACGTCTGATGTACGTGAGTACTGTCAGATAATGACTGTGATGTTAGAGAGCTTCAGTAATTCAGCAGTCCACTATAAGCAAAGCACTCAGTCATGGTGGGGAGGAACAGTATCCTTTTTAATAGGAAAAGACATGTGAGAACCAGGTTCTCCAGGTCAGTTAGGTTCTATGTAAGCGATTTCTTGATTCAACTGCTCAGTTAGCAATCCTGCCTAGGTGTTAAAGTGGAGCTTTCTAATTTGGCTAAACATGAAAGGCATGAGTTCTAGCACAGTGCCATGTGGAACTCCACGACTGGTTAATGTGTGGAAGGAACACACCTTGTTTACATGAACAAATTGGATGAGATAAATATAACTCAGACTGCCACAGTGAACCATCTTCATTGTACAGATTCCAGAAAAAGAAGAATCGCTCAGAACGGATTATACTGACATCAAAAGCACCCTGCAGCTGCAGATTGCTGTTTCAAATCACAGCTCTAGAAAGGGGGAATATATCAGAGTTAAATAAAGCAAAATTATTCTTTGAGAATAATATTAAACCCCTCCCCCCAAAAAGGCTTATATTTTCAAAAAAAAAGGTTAAAAGGTACAATATATGTTAGACTGTAAATTTGAAACTGCATAAAATAAAATAAAAAGAAAAGAACTAAAAAGATCAATATTATGTGATAAATTAACAGCTCTAACCTCATGTCAATCCCATATTGTGTTTCAGAGAGATCTCTCCTAATTGAGCATGTTAGCCAGCTAGCATTTGGATGTTTCCTTTGTGTCTTGGTGTGGAATAAAAACTCTGTGGAGCCTCCAATATGATCTCTGTCCAACATGAGAGGAACTTGTAGATCTGTCCAGAAACAGTACTGTGCAAATATTTCAGGCAGGTGTGAAAAAATGCTGTAAACAGAGAATTTAGAAAATTCTACACAAATAGGGATGCAGCTGCTTCAGGATAGCAATTCAATGCACCTTCAAAACAGCAGGTACACTAGGTACACTTGCACACAGTTTTTAAAGGAACTCTGCTAGTAGGTTGTTCCAAACATCTTGGAGAACTAACCACATATCTTCTCTGGATGTCTGTTTCCTCAGATCCTTCTGTCTCTTCATGTAATCCTAACACGCTTGATGATGTTGAGATGCTGAAGATGGTTCTTAATGACTTTGTCTGTATGTTTGGGGTCGTTGTCCTGCTGCAGAATAAATTTGGGGCCAATTATATGCCTACCTGATGGTATTGCATGATGGATAAGTATCTGACTGTGTTTTTCAGCACTAAGAACACCATTAATCCTTACCAAATCTCTAACTCCATTTGCAGAAATGCAGCCCTAAACCTTCAACCAACATCCATGATGCTTCACTGTTGCGTGCAGACAATAATTATTGTACCACTCTCCAGCCCTTTGACGAACAAGCTGCCTTCTGCTACAGCCAAATATTTAAAATTTTGACTCATAGGTCAAAAGTCTAGAGCATGTGCTGCCATTTTTCTGCACCCCATTTCCTATGTTTCCGTGCATAATTGAGTCGCTTGGCCTTGCAGCCAAAAAGCCATACCTCCAACTTGGAAACAACTCTTCCATGAAGACCACTTCTGGCCGGACCTGGGTGGGTGTACCTGGGTCCCACTGGTTTATGTCAGTTCTGAGCTGAAGGCACTGCTGAACATCTTCCAATTTCGAAGAGTAATAAGCTTGATGTGTCTTTTATCTGCTGCACTGTTTCCTTGGCCATCTACTGAGTCTACAATACTCAACGTTGCCCGTTTCTCTGTGCTTCTTCAAAAGAGCTTGAACAGCACATCTTGAAACCCCAGTTTGCTTTGAAATCTTTGTCTGGGAGAAACCTTGCTGGTGCAAGGTCTTGTGGTTCTGCTCAATATTGCCATGACATGAAATGGTCTTTCACAACCTCACCTTGGTAGCAGAGATTGGCTGTTCCATATAATAATTGCTGATGGTTTGAAGGCAAAAGGTGGTAATACCAAATATTGATTTGATTTAGATTTTTATTTTGTTCTCTCACTTTGTTTATTTTTATCAATTTACAAAATACAATCATTATTCATATTTCTGAAAGCATTCTTTACAGCATTTTTTTTCACACCTGGCTAAAACTTTTGCAGAGTACTGTGTTTTTCTTTTAAACAGTCATGGTTCTGACTTCTCTGTGAGCCATGTAAAAACAAAACACATGGGCAGTAAATGAAACTGAGGTGACATGGCCACGTTGATTGGCATTACTGATGTCGTTGGCTGATATATTTAATGTATTATCACATCAGTTTTGTGATGGCTTAAGAAGTCTGTGTACCCCTGGCACAAGGATGGAAAAATAATCACCTGGGGAAAAAACCCCAAATATCATTAGCAGCTATTGATCATTGGTATTGCTATTGTAAAATTGGTATCTAACGCACAGTCGCTGGAGACTACAGCATGACCAAAATTATTTTTGCAGCCTTGTGTAATTAACTAGAAATTTCATTGCTTTTGAAATGGTTGCTTTAACAATGGGGACCAGGTGTGTAGCCACTCGCAGTCAGTTACCATCTTCAGAGCGACTTTGGTGCCCCAAAATGGTGATAAAGCAACAACAGAGACTCGACAACTCGACCTTGTAAACTTGATAACAGATTGTTGGACAACAATTTCAAATCTTTTACCATCATACATACACAGAATTAACTCATTACATTTATAGACTGGTCACAATCTCATAGATCTTAAACTGAAGTTCAAAAACTTCTGCACAAATAGGGATGCAGCTGCTGCAGGACAGCCATTTAATGCAGTTACCTGGTAACCACTGATTTGCTTATTGCTTCATTTGTTTTTGGTTTCCATCCTGTTTTTGCTCCAGTGTGACTGAGTCATCCGTGAAACCGTGACCACAGTCATTTAAAGTTTTTATTAGAAAGGAGGCAAAACATAACAACAGGAGAAAATGTGTTAGTCTATTATTAGCAAAAATTAATTTCAAACTTAACGGAGACCCGTCATATGCCTATTGGAGGACTTGTTACATCACCATAAGTGTACTAAAAAAGACAAAAGATGGCACTAAAGTGATGACAAAGTCTGTGCTCCTGAGAAAAGCTGTACTTGAAAATATTTTTGAGTTGAATGTCATCATTTTGGCCCATGATATATCTCCAAAATGAATACAGCATACAAACTATTGTTAGTTATTTTATGTAAAATATAATACAGAGGGAAAGCGTGAGTGTATTTATAGACAAAGAACAACTCTTTCCTAATCACTGGCTTTTCTTCATCAATCGTGCTATCTTTCATGTCTTGAGGCAGACTATTGTTTCCTATTTTTATTCCCCTGCCATCATCTTTTAATCCCCTCTTCATATTACTGTAACACCCCACCCACCCCCACCTTAAACCCCCTGAGTGGGTTTACATAAGTGTGATGATGTGACCCCTTACTCATCCTAGCTCTCCTGTCATTGGTCAGATTCCACAGGTGGCACCAGAGCCCAGAAGAGCTCCCCAGAAGATGAGGCTCACGGGTAGTGCAGTTTCTGTCAGCCTGTTGTTTGGGGGGGAAGCCCTCCTCCAACCAAGTAGAGATTGGTTTTGTTTTTTTTTATATCATTGTTTGTAATTATTGATAAATCATCTATGGCTGGAACCTAGTTATTGGACAAGACTGGAGTGGAAGTGCTTTTTGTCTTTTATGTACATCTACTGTTCACACTGTTCATTTCCACCCACATTCCTTTATGTGCTTACTATTGGAATTATTATTTTATGCAATTTTTAATAACTTTGGACTATGTGTGTGCATGTTTATGTATATACAAATAAAAATGTGGTATAGCAGGAAAAAGTATATGGATCCTTTGGAATGACCTTGTTTCTATTGGGATTCATTATAAAGTGTCATCTGATCATCTTCTTTGCCAGAAGCGCAATGTGCTTCAATCAGCAATACAAAACTGTGTGTCTGAAAGAAGAGCTTCCTGTAGCTGCAGGTCAAACTTGCACTGAATTATGGAAAACTCTTTCCCTGCATTTTTTTTGTTGTTGTTATTTTAAAAACTGGGCTGATACAAAATGCAAATATCTCCAAAGGGTTCCATTGCTGTTTCTTGCCCTTGAGTATACATTTTAATCTGGTGGTGCCTTACTTCCAGATTGAGCCTTCTGTACTAAACTTGTTTTGCCATTCCTTACTTGCGTGTGCGTGCGTGCGTGCATCCCTTTGAGACATTAAAAACACTCGATAGTGGGTTCTAAGCAGATTTGCACCTTACATTTGTGCACTGTGGAAGATGTTAAACTATTTGGTGAGATGCGAGGTACGTCCGAATTTTTTCAATTCATTTAACATTGATGCCATACTGTGTGTGTGTGTGTGTGTGTGTGTGTGTGCGCGCGCGTCTTTGATCTTTCAGTCGCTCATGGATGGTTTTCTAGGGTCTGGTTCTACTACCATAGACCTTGGATCTGTAGCAAAGATTTCTTGAAGCTTGACTGATTTTTCACAAATTCTGGATATAATGTTTTGTCAGGGTAGAAAACATGGCTAAAACAGCACCGGCCTTTTGAAAGAATTCTAGAAACATTTTGTTCAGTATAGGGGTTAACAGTGTAGACCCGTAGAGCTCAGGTGCTGTTGATTGTTACTATATACATAGAAGTGACTGACCTTTCTGCTAGTTTATCCCGTTGTTCTCTTTTTTTCCCCCCCCCAAACTGGCAAGTCAAATTGAAACATGCCTTACTGTGAGACAAAATACAGTGTGGTTTCTCCAAAAAAAAAAGAATATAAGGACAGAACTATAATTCAATATGAAACTGAGGATGAAAAGATGCAAAAGGATTTCCAAATTGACATCACAAGCTGATAAACTGTTATTTGACATATCTTTTATTACTTCACATCACACATTCACCATAAAGACTCTGACATGATGGAATGGAGATTTGATAGTCTAAGAGAGGGAATTTTATTTGGCACCCCACAGTTAGACATCTTACAGTGTTACTGTTTAAAGGGACCTTAACACAAGACTAAACACCTGTTAGTGTTAATAATGTTTGAGACCTTTGTCGACATCAAGATTAGAGTGCACTGATTTCTATAGCCTTTCTGCTGTGATTGGTTATTATGCCTTCAGGCATGTGTGATTGAGTATGTGTGATAAATTCAGAGAAAAGGACTATAGAAATTCAACCAATATAGAGGTCCTTGCATGACGTCTAGCAAAAGGCCAACAGCACACCTAACAGGGGTTCTTTTTTCCCGACAAATTCTGATTGGTCGAAGAATCGGCTTTTACAGAAAGACTGCCACTACAGACTTTACCATAAAGGGGAAGAAATCCAGAAAGTATCAAAACTAAAAAAATACTAATGAGATGCATAGACATTTATATGAACAAATTATATATATCCAAATATAGACAATTTTGAGGGGTTTTTTTAGGTTGTTATTTTTCCCCCACTCAGTCTCTAAACAAAACTCCAGACTCGTGGTTTGTACTTGTACTTTGACTTTTGATACTTTGTACTTCTGCTCCAAACTTTAGGTTGCAGCTTTTTAAGTCTCACCTACTTAGCTGCTATTACCAGGCCAAGGAGGTGAGACTATGTTGTTATCTTTTGCATCTCTGCAGGCTTAATTCAGAAACATTGAGTACTGAAAGAGCTAGAGATTTTTGTTGAATTCTTTTTAAAGATTGGTGTAACTTATGTGACCATACAATGCCTTTAGATAAACAAAAACATCCATCATGTCTAAAAGGACCTGTGGAAACACCAGTTGGAACAATAGACCGTATAGATGATATGGAATTGAGACAGATCACATTACTACCTTGTCAATCACTCTAACATTTTGACTCTAATGGAGACCGTAATTCTCTTTTTATAGGACTTGAAACCATAAAAGGAGACCATAAAGTCATCAGGAAAAGCAAGATTTAATATAAAGTTGTGCAATCAGATCTGTGACACAGAAATGGGACATGTTTCTATTGTTGCTGTTCCTAGTGTTCCTTAAGTAAGTTCTAATATACATGCTGTGATGCTTCTACGAGTAGGTCTGCTTTTCATAAGTCATGTAAACTTAAGACTTATGAAAAGCAGACCTACTTAAACTTAAGAGCATACAGTAAGCAGCACAGCACAGAGCACTGTGGTTAAGTAGAGGGTCTGCTCCCTGCACTGTTCCCAGTGTGTCGTCTAATCCTTGCAACTGGAAATCAGATTGGCACTGAAAGGGTGAATGTGGTGAAATGTTGTTTCTAATATTGTTTAACTGCAGTTCCCCTGTAGTTAATGTGTGTTAATGTGTGTGTGTGTGTCCGTATGAGTTCAACGCAGTATGTCACCTGTAGACCATGAAAAACATCCAGTCTGCACTGTAGTATTCATTATCCAGTATGCTGACAGTTTAAAATACATTTGAAATGTCTGTCAGTCATTGTTGCATGTGTGTAAACATGTGAGAAAGGTCAGAAGTGGCTTCTAAATAATCCCTGTGTTGATGATAAAATATTAATGATAACAAGGAAGGACAGGAAGAGTCAGTCTTATAATGGAAAGCTTTCACTGCATTATTAAATAAATGGAACTAGATGAAACAAAGCAGTGGGATATAAAACATCTTATTCTTCATTGTAGGACCTATTATCTCATTCATAGAGGAAATTAACTCAAAGCAAATACAGTTTTGTGAGGTGATGGAAAGTGAATTGGCAATGGCCAAACTTATGAGGTGAATTGTCAGAAAATCAAAATGAATCAGTGAAAGCACAAACGGGTACAGGTTCATCTTATGTTTATATGACAATCACAGTTGAGATGAAAGAGTTCCAAAAAAGGCCCAGCAATCTTTAGTTTGGGAATGGCTGCTATATTGTATAAGGTAGATTTTAAAATCTAAATCTAACCCTTAAAGGATAATTCTAGTTAATTTCAACCTAGCTTACATCCCAGTAATTTGGCTCAATGGCTCATGCTAACTTTACCTTGTCAACTCCATTGTAGAGGTGGCAGTGTGAGAAGTTGCACAAGAAGTCAGCAAAGTTGTTTCTTTACATTGTGTTGATGACTATAACCGATTTTTAGAAACTGTTTTAAATTACAGACATTTAACTCATTTTAAATGTCTCCTTTCAATTTTTCAGATGCACGGGTGCCAACTTAACCTGAGAATTCATGGCCCATTAAGCCATTTCAATAGGAAACACACCATGTTAATCATTACATAATCAACCTAGTGTATTTCCCACATTGGTGTGCAGGGTTGCTTAGGAGTCGGCGCTGTCAGCTGTGACACAGTGTGTTTCTTTGTGTTTCAGATCCATGTATGTTAGATTCAGTCTGTGCACATGTATGCGTTATTATTCAAGTGTATTGCCATATTCCAGCAGAATCCCAGATTCCCTGATAATGGGATTGTGAGTAAATATTTTTTTCAGCAGTTTGCTCATTTTTTGTTCTAAAAAAGTTGATTTCTATCAAAAGATTGAATGTAAAAAGATAATCCTGATTTTGTGCGACTTGGGCAGTTTGCTGATGTTAAGAATGATGTATTACTAAATGACTACTTGGAGTATAAATCTAGGAAATATTTTATAGGTAATCAGTCTTAGTTTCCAGGTACAATACTGTTACCAGACGAGTTATTGAGAATTAAATAGTTCTCGCTCTCTCTCGCTCGCTCGCTCACTCTGTTACATTTGTATAGAACTTCTAAAGTTATTTTTGATGGTTTGTTTTTTCTGGAATGCTGCCAGTATTGGGTATATTGGGACTCCATTGAATTTAACACTTTCAATAATTTCTTAGGAAATAAAGTCAATCCTGTTCTGAACATGTTAATTATGATTGCTTTTTCTTTTCATACGCAGCATATGACATGACGTGAGATCGCTGACATGAGGTTTTTATACTGACATAGTGCAAATAAAGATCAAATAAAGCAGTTTGCTTGAAACAACAACTTGGAACCTGAACAAAACATTTTCAGTTTCTAGTGTGGTGTTGTCAACACCAGCCTAAACATGCCTGACGGTGTTCTCTGGATAAATCCCGTACTCTACCTGAATCTTGGCCAGAGCTCAGTGTTTTACTGTAGTTAAACAGAAGATGGCAGCATCTGTGTTGTAATGAGCGGAATTTTAGCAAGAGACAAGTGTATCAATCTGTCAGAAATATATGCAGACACCAGTATATGTTAGGGCAGCTAAAGGAAGCAGAATTGGATAAGCAGAAGACGAATGGAGGGAGGGAGCTGTGTAATGAGATGCATGCAGGTGATAAGAATCAAAGACAATGAGGAAAGTAAAACTGAAGGCAAGATACTGGAGACAGGTATCTACTAAAATAAAATAGGAAGCGAGAATAGCTAAACAGGAAATGAGACAAGAATTTAAGGGGAATTGACAGATGAGAAAGGGCAAGAAACTGAGGGAACAAACTAAACTGAAACATAATTCGTGAAAGGAAATATATTAAGTTGAAAAGATAAACACAAAGAAAACTAAGAATTAAACATATTATTCAGTAAGCAAGACATGAGAGCACAAAACCTCAAAATGCTGGGTCAAAGACCTCTGATCATCACACTCCTTTCTGGCTGAAAAATGTAAAATATTATTATTACTTATTATTG